AACATTTTATTTAGGCCTATCTATGGCCTTCAAAAAGTTGACGACGACTACATGTTTTGACGTCAACTTTTTGAAGGCCATAGATAGGCCTAAATAAAATGTTTTTAATTGTGTACCAGTTTAACGTTGAATATTATTTATGATGTTAATTTTATACACAAGTGCCAAAATACTATAATTATTTTTACTTTGTTGTAGTATAAAAATATAGATGGAAAAGCTCATAAATTAACAGATGACTAAGTGATACTATGTAAATACACAAGTAACATTAATGAGTTATATCTAGTAAGTAGAATTAATAACCCTAGCCAACAGCTATCTATTTTTACTAATAAATATTTCGATGATAATGATATCTGTTGTTAGTGAAATGGTCAAAAAGAGAATAAAATTACTTGATTTACAATTTCTACTGTTTTTGCTTTAGTATTTTAAAATATGCAGAAAGCAGTTTTTCCTTTTGTTTGTTGTTAAGTGCAAAGCTACACAATGAGCATCAAAGCCCAGTCTTTAGCAGTGTGAACCCTCAGACTTATCATTGAGCCACCGAAAGCCTAAGAGCAGTTGCTATATCTATAAATTTGTAAAACATTTTGCAGTAAAGACAGCTTAACAGACATTTTTGTTCTACGAAACCTTCTAACAATCCAATAACAAGTGTTTTCCTTTTATACATGGACTAATTTCACCCGTACTGGGATTTTTTTATCTCTGCCAACCTCCCAAAAAAACAAAAGCTTACACAATGAGAGATCATCACAAGCCTAACTGCAGATATTTTACCTACTCAACTGTTTTTGAAAGGTGAATAATATAACTCAGATATCTAAACTTAATATAAGCTACTGCCACATACTGTTGTCATATATAGGTATGCCATGCATTTTTCTACCTTCTTAATTTAATATAGAATTTTCAAAATTTCTATATTTTTGAGTCTATGCAGTTTTTCCATAACATATAATCCATAAAGTCATGAAGCTGAATTTGTTTTAGCTGCCTTTGCTGTTCTCTAGAGATAATACCAGCTCCCTATCCCTGCCTCTGTGAGATATATTGCTGTAACACTGCATGTTGTGCAAGAAGGTCAGCAACAGCAATGTCCTTCGCTGGTATAGCAGATGGTATTTAGAGGTTATGACCCCCCAAACTTGTAACCACCAAAAAAAATACAAAATAAAACTAAATTATTATGATTATTATTTTTGTCTAGAATGACTACAGATTGTAACATGAAACTACAATTCTTTATCCTAAATAGCTTAAAACTTGTAATAGTATACACCTGCTTTACACAATTTTATTGTTTTATTACCCTTTTACTGGTGTCTAACCAAAAAACCCCACCAGAGAAGTTGCAAATCACTTGGCAAACATGTAGCTCATTGAATGATGAAACAGAATTTTCATTATCTTATCTAATATAACCTAATAAGTGTCAAATTTTTACACTTTCATTACTTTTATAAAACTAACTAAAAAATTTTCCTGAAAAACAATATATCACCTACCTGTGACCTTGTTTTTTTTTACCTGTCAGTTGTTGATGAAATTTAAGCCAAATGTTTTATACTAATAGTACAAGTACACAAAAGAATTTTCCTTTACTTAACTCTTTTGCACACATTATGACTTCTCAGAGTTACATTTAAATTCTAATTAAACAACCTTATTATTTTTGTATACAAATAAACATGGCATCAAAATGTAGTTAATATATCAAATTTTAAGAATATACAAGTTTTATGTTCTTAATTTTATAAGGTAAAATTTTCAAAATCCTCAATCTCCCCTTGTATACAAATAAAATAAACTTGGCATCAAAATGTAGTTAATAAATCAAATTTTAAGAACATAAAAGATTTATGTTCTTAATTTTATAAGGTAAAATTTTAAAAAATCCTCAACCTCCCTTGTATGAGAATTGTGACATATGATCTCTAGGACTTCGCTTTCTAGAATTTATTTAACAACCCTCTGAGAAGTAGTGGAATTTAACAAATTACTAATTATAAAATAGATATTAATCAGACAAAACAATTATTCATATCCTTCAATCTTACTTGTTTACAGACCCACCTGTTACATCCTTCTTTTACAAATTGCCAATATTTCTCTGACATTTTATACTATATTATTTATAACCAATAGAAAGTCAAAGTTTTAGTCTAGTAAATGACATATTATATTTGGTTGTTTTCTACACAAAGAATTGTCTATTTTGCCTTCAGTTTGAAACTTGTTCTTGTGGTATTCACATTGACAAACTTAGCCAAGTTTTTAAAGGTTCTTATCACATAGTTAGAAAGCCACAAAAATTTACAAATTTCACTGGTTACAGAGCTAATGAATAGAAAATCAGACCCCTCCTGCCACACCTACCTATCACCTATCTTTCAGAATTCGTAATTAGTTTTCTCATACATTTCAATATATATTTCCTATTACCAACAGAAAGTCCAGGTTTTCATCTATCAATTTCACACAGAGTACAAGCTTCGTTCCTGTGGGAAAGTTGAGAACTAGTTTGGATGAATTTGTAATGGTTCTTGTTGCATAGTTAGAAAGCCAGGAAAATTTTGAGAGATAAATGAATGTGTCTACTTTTTGCATGTTATTAGTCTATATTCTGTGGTGTATTATTTAACCCTATTGAGATGGGTAGGGATTTGAGGGCATGTCATCACGTTTGTAGATTTACATTAAAAATTTTATTTAGCTATTATTTCTTAAACGTATATCAATAAGTTTGGTATTGAACTGTAGATTATAATTCAAATTTTAGTGTTATACATTAGTTAAGTTTTTAATTTGAACTAATTATTAAAAAAAAAGCTAAATGTTGATTTTTTGTGTGTCACGTGGTACGTAGACTTCTAGGTTTGGTCAAATTACATTTTATGATGCCCACAATACATCTTATTGTTTTATATGAATCACAAACTCACATGTTCAACATTGGTAAGCTAGAATATAAAATAAGAACCTCCTACCTTTTCTATTTGCTGAGATATCATGATATTTAGCAAAACCACCATATTGGCTCTGCCAACCACTTTATTCAGAAGACCTATTTATCTAAGCCTACTTTTATATAACAATAACTTTATAATCAATCAAAAGCTATATATTTATTCTACATAATTCTGTAGGTCTTCCTAAGTTATTTACGAGAGAAATGCTGTTATATCACTGGAAAGTTTGAAGTATTGCTATCAATGCTATTTTGTGAATAGAAATTATATTTTTTAGACCCAACTACAATTTCGTTAGGAAGCCTGATAAATTACAGTGGATTTTGGGGGTATTGGTACAGTAATTTATAATTTTATAATTATATATAAAGTCTACATAAATAATTATTTTTCCATCTCCACATGTGAATTTGGACAAGGCTTAGCAAGTATGGCTCATGAACACAAACAAGGACTTCACAGCATCGTAAGTAGTAGGTATCATTGTTTTCCAAATATTTTTGATTTATTATGTTTGAAGAAAAATAACTGACATTTAAGTATTTATTTGAAAACAATAGCTATGTTTATACACATATTTAGTATATTGTGTTATTTTTCTACTCATTTACATTGAGGTAGAATAAAAACAAATTATACAAAACTAAAGACTTGGCAATTCAGGAAAAGTTTATTTATGTAATTTGTGAAAGTCTAAGAAATAAATTTATCACTGATCAACTGATCTTAACACATGAAAAGGAACATCTTTATATAAACACCTGGTTCAACTTGCAGTTTGCAGGTGAATAATTTGTTTCTCAAGTTACAATCAAGAAGGCTAAGCCAAGAATACCAGCCCAACCAAAACAAGCCCTATTTATATTACTGGAAACTACACATTTATTGGTTACTGTGCAAGCATGGTAATATGGGAAACAGGATGTCCATAAGCATTTACACACATTTTAATCATTACCAATGCTAAATCCTGACCACCAAGTAAGATAACTAGGAAGTTTATTGGATAGGATACAACTTTAGACTTTGTACAGAGCCATATCATATTTTCTCACTTTTATAAAGTACTTTAGACAATTCTTGTTGCAACCACTGTATTGTAAAGAAGCCAGCAAATTCTATCCCACTGTGTTCTCAGAGCAGCAATCTGAATAGTTTCTGTAGGATACTTCCACTTTTTTGACTCAATGGATTAGCCCAGACTTTCTACAAAGTCATAAACATTTTATAATACTTTAGACAATTGTCACTGTAACCATTATGCTGTCAACAAGTTGATATATCCTATCCAACTGTGTTTTCAAAGCAGGGAAAATTCTGGGAATTGTGCCGAATGAACTTATTTGATATTGACGTGTCAAAGTACTCAAAGTACAGTAACACCCAAACAAGAATGGTGATTCATTGCTTTATAGTCTGTAGGTTTCTACTTCAGGCACTAACAGTAGAATAACAACAGGAAATAGGCCTAAAAAGATTAGAAGAAACTCTCAGGAGGTTTACTTGGAACTTTACTGTCCATACTGAAAAGAACAAAGTACTATTCATTTTGTTTCTTCTAATTTCTAACTCATCAACTAGCAATAAAATAACTACTACAGGAAATAAGTGTGAAAA